CAGTTCCAGCGATACAGCATCTACAGCTGCTAGTCAGGCATCCAGATGGGAGCTGCAGTTGGTTGGTCTTGCAGGCAGCTTTCTGACACACCCCACCGAAGCTCCTACATTCCGCTTTACTTCTGCACTCTGTAAAAAAAGGATTAAAAATTTATGTGTGCCGCAGAAATTTGAGATTATAGGAAAGTAGATGCGAGTGGAAAGAGGAATGATTGGTGGAAAGATGAGGTGAAGAGGATGGTAAGATGAAAAAAATTATCATATGAGATGATTGCACGATGTAGAAATGATATACAGATGTCAGAGTATAGGGAGAGGAAAATAGATGTTAAACAAGTAGTGATAGAGTGCATGAGGAAATACAGTGGCAGAATACGGTAGATTTACTATTGAAACTTTTAGTATTAAGACATTGCAATATTGTTGAGCTAGGAAGATGTATTAAGTATATGAGATGTGAAGACCGAGGGTTTACATTAAATCATATAAGTGTGCAGGAACTGGTTGTTGCCTTTATTAATTCAGAAACCATAGGATGGATAAGGAAGAAATGTGAGAATTGTAAATGCAAGGAATAGGCAGTAAAGTTTTAATGCAGGGAATGATTATTAGGAGGTGTATTTTCAAGTATAACTGAACCTCAAAAGGGATATGTGATGTCACCATAGCAGTAAGATGTATAAATGGGGCTATTGAAGAAGAGAATGCTAGGGTATTGGATGGAGATGTAGGATCGAAAGATAATAAATCCATTACGAAGTGGGAGCTGTCACAGTTGCTTTTTGCCGACGGCACAATTTTCTGAGGAGATTTTGAAGAGAAGTTGTAAACGTTTGGAAAAACGCAATATTGTGAGAATAACAATAAATGTTGAGACACTGAAAGATTGACTATCATATTGGTGGGAATATGGAAGAAATGAATATACTTAATATTTGGGAGTGGCAATGTAGGAAAATGGGTCTATGAAAGATGAGGTGATGCATAGAAAAGATGATGTGGGAAATGACAGGTCGAGTGTTAAGGCATTTTTGGAAACAATGAAGTTTATTTATGCTTGAAAACCAAGAGGTGTTCCAAGTACTTGAATGTGTGTGAGGGATGGGCTCTAAATGTTGCAGCGAGAAGGAAGCGAGAGGCAGTGGAGATGTGTTTGAAAGAGAATTCAGGGCATAAAAATTAGATTTTGTGGGGTTACAGAAAATGCATAAAATTCAGTTGACTGAATACGGTTCATTGATGTGGTTTAGAAATTTAAGTACAAACCTAGGGGAGGCCTTAAAGGAGGTTTTGAGGACTATTAGCCTGAGCATTCTGCAGCCTTGTCTGAGCGTATTAGATCGGAATGAGTTGAGACAACGTTGTTGGAGTGTGAAGGTGTGAAGAAGGTTACGTTTATAAAGGGACTTATAAATGTAGCTTGTGCGTGTGTGCAATGCTTGAATGCACTGTACACACACACACACACACACACACACACACACACACACACACACACACACGGCTCAGGGAGAGTGACCTAGTAGCGATCAGTGAAGAGGCGGGGCCAGGAGCTCGGACTCGACCCCCGCAACCTCAACTAGGTGAGTACACACACACATGCACACACAGTGAAGAGGCGGGGCCAGGAGCTCGGACTCGACCCCCGCAACCTCAGCTAGGTGAGTACACACACATACACACACACATGCACACACATGCACACACACACACACACACACACACACACACATGCAGACACACACACACACACATACACACACATGCTCACACACACATGCACACACATGTGGATTGATGTGGGTATTAACGAAAAAATGTGAAATCATTTGGGTTATCCTGGGTTAAGAGTGAAAATGTTTTCCCTATGTTGTATATGAAATGTGTAGGGGGGAAGTCGACAAGATTCAGCCTGTGTGCGGGGTCATCACGTGACGTCATTGACATAGGGGGAAGTCGAGAAGATTCAGCCTGTGTGTGTGGGGTCATCATGTGACGTCACTGACATAGCGGGAAGTCGACAAGATTCAGCCTGTATGTGTGAGGTCATCACGTGACGTTACTGACCGCCGAGTAAACACAGGTGGGGTGACGTCACACTTGTTTAGACCTGTAGTAAGAGAAAGTACCATGCCTCATAGGAGGAGTTCATTTGAATGCTTACCCCCAGAGGGGGAATCCAAAAACTCGATCCGAGGAGATGGAGGAGAAATACTTGATCCAAGGAGATCATAAGAATTTCGAAACCCCATAGGGGGGAATCCAAAAGCTTGATCCGAGGAATTGGAGTCTTTGTATTATCGAGAAAACCATGATCCAAGGAGATGGAGGAGAAATACTTGGGATGGGGGTGAAAGTGGGAGGGGGAACCTTAAAAACTTGATCCGAGGAGATGGAGTCTTGGTATTGTTGATATCGAGAAAAACTTGATCCGAGGAGATGGAGGAGAAATTTTGGGGGTGGAAGGAGGGGTACCCAAAAACTTGATCCAAGGAGATGGAGTCTTGGTATTGTTGATATCGAGAAAAAACTTTGATCCAAGGAGATGGAGTCTTTTTATTATCGAGAAAAACTTGATCCAAGGAGATGGAGACTTTTGATTTCGAGAAAAATTTGATCCGAGGAAGTAGAGTCTTTGTATTATCGAGAGAAAAAAAATTGGGATGCAAGTGGGAGTCCATTTTGAATGCTTATACCCAGAGGGGGGAATCCAAAAAACTTGATCCGAGGAGATGGAGGAGAAATACTTGGACATAGAGGGTAGAAGTGGATGGTGGGGGAAATCTTTGTATTATTGATATCGAGAAAAACTTGATCCGAGGAGATGGAGAGCACAATAAAATGAAATTAAAAAAAAAATCGAAAAAAATCGGAAAAAAATCGGGGCGCGGGGGCGATCCGGACGACGCTGCAGAAGGCGCGGGCGTGCGCGACGGGCGGGCGCGAGGGGCGCGGGCGGGCGGGCGGCTGGGTCGGCGCAACGGGCGGGGGGCGCGAGGGCGGGGGGGCGGGGGGGGGGTCGTGGGGGCGCGGGCGGGGGGGCGTGGGTGGTGGGGGTTGAGGGTGGGGGGTTGAGGGTGAGGTGGTCTCGAGGGTGAGGTGGTCTCGAGGGCGAGGTTAAGGTCATTAGCATATAGGTGTGAAAAGGAGCCACCCAGGAAAAGGAGCCACTCAGCCACAGCCCTTTTCAGGAGGAAGCCACTCTGCCGCAGAGACCGCTCAGGAAAAGGAAGCCACTCTGCCGCAGGAGCCACTGAGCCGCCTTCATCACTACTGGCGGGGCCAGGAGCTAAGACTCGACCCCTGCCACCACAAATAGGTGAGTACACACACACACACACACACACACACACACACACACACACACACACACACACACACACACACACACACACAGACACACACACACAGACACACACACAGACACACACACAGACACACACACAGACACACACACAGACACACACACACACACACACACACACACACACACACACACACACACACACACACACACACACACCCAAGGGTAACAGGAATAATGAAAAAGCCAGGATGAGCCCATGGTTTACCTAAAGGTGCAGGGAGGCAAAAACCAAGTGTGCTAGGGAATGGAAGAAATATAGAAGGCAAAGGACCCAGGAGAATAAGGAGAACAGTCGTAGAGCCAGAAACGAATATGCACAGATAAGAAGGGAGGCCCAAAGACAATATGAAAATGACATAGCAGCGAAAGCCAAATCTGACCCGAAACTATTGTACAGCCACATCAGGAGGAAAACAACAGTCAAGGACCAGGTAATCAGGCTAAGGAAGGAAGGAGGAGAGACAACAAGAAATGACCGTGAAGTATGTGAAGAACTCAACAAGAGATTCAAAGAAGTGTTCACAGAGGAGACAGAAGGGACTCCAGAAAGACGGAGAGGTGGGGCACACCACCAAGGGCTGGACACAGTGCACACAACCGAGGAAGAAGTGAAGAGGCTTCTGAGTGAGCTAGATACCTCAAAGGCAATGGGGCCAGATAACATCTCCCCATGGGTATTGAGAGAGGGAGCAGAGGCGCTATGTGTACCCCTAACAACAATATTCAATACATCTATCAAAACAGGGAGATTGCCTGAGGCATGGAAGACAGCAAATGTAGTCCCAATCTTTAAAAAAGGAGACAGACATGAAGCATTAAACTACAGACCAGTGTCACTGACATGTATAGTATGCAAAATCGTGGAGAAGTTTATCAGGAGAAGAGTGGTGGAACACCTAGAAAGGAACGATCTCATCAACAGCAGCCAACATGGTTTCAGGGATGGGAAATCCTGTGTCACAAACCTACTGGAGTTCTATGACATGGTGACAGCAGTAAGACAAGAGAGAGAGGGGTGGGTGGATTGCATTTTCTTGGACTGCAAGAAGGCGTTTGACACAGTTCCACACAAGAGATTGGTGCAAAAACTGGAGGACCAAGCAGGGATAACAGGGAAGGCACTACAATGGATCAGGGAATACTTGTCAGGAAGACAGCAGCGAGTCATGGTACGTGGCGAGGTGTCAGAGTGGGCACCTGTGACCAGCAGGGTCCCGCAGGGGTCAGTCCTAGGACCAGTGCTGTTTCTGGTATTTGTGAACGACATGACGGAAGGAATAGACTCTGAGGTGTCCCTGTTTGCAGATGACGTGAAGTTGATGAGAAGAATTCACTCGATCGAAGACCAGGCAGAACTACAAAGGGATCTGGACAGGCTGCAGACCTGGTCCAGCAATTGGCTCCTGGAGTTCAATCCCACCAAGTGCAAAGTCATGAAGATTGGGGAAGGGCAAAGAAGGCCGCAGACGGAGTACAGTCTAGGGGGTCAGAGACTACAAACCTCACTCAAGGAAAAAGATCTTGGGGTGAGTATAACACCAGGCACATCTCCTGAAGCGCACATCAACCAAATAACTGCTGCAGCATATGGGCGCCTAGCAAACCTCAGAACAGCATTCCGACATCTTAATAAGGAATCATTCAGGACCCTGTACACCGTGTACATTAGGCCATATTGGAGTATGCGGCACCAGTTTGGAACCCACACCTAGCCAAGCACGTGAAGAAACTAGAGAAAGTGCAAAGGTTTGCAACAAGACTAGTCCCAGAGCTAAGAGGTATGTCCTACGAGGAGAGGTTAAGGGAAATCAACCTGACGACACTGGAGGACAGTAGAGATAGGGGGGACATGATAACGACATACAAAATACTGAGAGGAATTGACAAGGTGGACAAAGACAGGATGTTCCAGAGATTGGACACAGTAACAAGGGGACACAATTGGAAGCTGAAGACACAGATGAATCACAGGGATGTTAGGAAGTATTTCTTCAGCCACAGAGTAGTCAGTAAGTGGAATAGTTTGGGAAGCGATGTAGTGGAGGCAGGATCCATACATAGCTTTAAGCAGAGGTATGATAAAGCTCACGGCTCAGGGAGAGTGACCTAGTAGCGATCAGTGAAGAGGCGGGGCCAGGAGCTCGGACTCGACCCCCGCAACCTCAACTAGGTGAGTACAACTAGGTGAGTACACACACACAACAAGACTAGTCCCAGAGCTAAGAGGTATGTCCTACGAGGAGAAGTTAAGGGAAATCAACCTGACGACACTGGAGGACAGGAGAGATAGGGGGGACATGATAACGACATACAAAATACTGAGAGGAATTGACAAGGTGGACAAAGACAGGATGTTCCAGAGATTGGACACAGTAACAAGGGGACACAGTTGGAAGTTGAAGACGCAGATGAATCACAGGGATGTTAGGAAGTATTTCTTCAGCCACAGAGTAGTCAGTAAGTGGAATAGTTTGGGAAGCGATGTAGTGGAGGCAGGATCCATACATAGCTTTAAGCAGAGGTACGATAAAGCTCACGGCTCAGGGAGAGTGACCTAGTAGCGATCAGTGAAGAGGCGGGGCCAGGAGCTCGGACTCGACCCCCGCAACCTCAACTAGGTGAGAACTAGGTGAGTACACGCACACAAGAGCTGTGAATCGACCCCTGCAACCACAACTGGGTGAGTACACACACACACCCACACACACACACACACACACACACACACACACACACACACACACACACACACACACACACACACACACACACACACACATATACATTCACACAAACACTAGGACCAGTGCTATTTTTGGTGTATGTGAATGACAAGACGGAAGGGATAGACTCAAAAGTATCCCTGTTCACAGATGATGTGAAGTTAATGAGGAGATTTAAATTGGATGAGGATCAGGCAGGACTTCAAAGAAACCTGGACAGGTGGAAGCTTGGTCCGGCAACTAGCTCCTCGAATTTAATCCGCCAGATGCAAAGTCATGAAGATCGGGGAAAAGCAAAACAGACCGCAGACAGAGTATAGACTAGGTGGCCAAAGACTGCAAACCTCACTCAAAGAAAAGGATCTTGGGGTGAGTATAATACCGAGCACATCTCCTGAGGCGCACATCAACCAGGTAACTGCTGCAGCGTATGGGCGCCTAGCAAACCTGAGAATAGCGTTCCGTTACCTCAGTAAGGAATCGTTCAAGACTCTGTGCACCGTGTATGTCAGGCCCACACTGGAATATGCAGCACCAGTTTGCAACCCACACTTGGTCAAGCACGTCAAGAAATTAGAGAAAGTGGAAAGGTTTGCAGCAAGGCTAGTTCCAGAGCTAAGGGGAATGTCCTACGAAGAAAGGTTAAGGGAAATCGGCCCGAAAACGCTGGAGAACAGGAGGGCTATGGGAGACATGATAACGACATTTAAAATACTGTGAGGAATTGACAAGGTGGACAGAGACATGATGTTCCAGAGATGATATACAGAAACAAGGGATCCTGACATCTCTTCGACTCAGGTGAGTCAAAGAGAAGTTAGGAAGTATTTCTTTAGTCATAGAGTTCTCACGAAGTGGAATAGTCTGGCAAGTGATGGAGGCAGGAAACATTCATAGTTTTAACACGAGGTATGATAAAGCTCATTGGAGCAGGGAGAGGACCTAGTAGCGATCAGTGAAGAGGCGGGGCCACGAGCTATGTCTCTAACCCTACAAACAACAAATATGTGAGTACACACACATACACACACACACACACACAAACAAACATATACACAAGCGCTCACAAGAGCGCACACTCACAAGCACACACAAACGCACACACAAACACACACACAAACACACACAAACACACACACACACACACACACACACACACACACACACACACACACACACACACACACACACACACACACACACACACACACGTCACAGGTGATATTTTAATACGCAATTTAACCATAGAGAATTGTAATTTAATACCAGTCACTTTCGTGATCTTTCAAGCCCATTCTCAAGTGTGAAATATTTTAAAGGTCTGGGTGTTTATCCAGCTTACTGACCCAAATTTTTAGTAATCCAGAAGACTAAGTTTGATACTCAAAAATAAATAAATAAATAAATATATATATATATATATATATATATATATATATATATATATATATATATATATATACAAAGAATTCGCAAGAGCAGGCGAAATATACAAACACTGATCTCTGGCTGAAGGAGACTCGAACCTACGAACCTTGGAAGAAGGTACGCAGTGCTTTACCAATCTCCCAACATATGGTCCAGTGTGGGTAGATTGGTAAAGCACTGCGTACCTTGTCCTAAGGTTCGTAGGTTCGAGTCTCCTTCAGCCAGAGATCAATGATTATATATATATATATATATATATATATATATATATATATATATATATATATATATATATATATATAATTAGAAATTAAAGGCTGCATAGCCCACTCAAATTCGCAATCTTCCTGTAAATAAGGCATGCTAAGTTTGAAGCCGATCATAAGAATGGAGGAACACTGCAGCAGGCCTGTTGGCCCATACTGGGCAGGTTCTTCACAGATCCATCCCACTAATAGAATATTTGCCAACATAAGAAATAAGGAACACTGCAACAAGTCTACTGGTCTATGCGAGGCAGCTCCAATTCTCCCCAACGGCTTAAGCCAATGCCTAGACCTAGTGTGGCATTCTTTAGTTATAATACGGAATGGATTGATTTAAAGTTTATTTATGTATTATTGACAAATAGTAAGCTACACAACAGTTAATTATGAGGCTTATTAGAGATATTTTACAAGAAAAAAATATCTCCCCATTTTTAAAATGAATTTGGGAAATTGGCATCTACACACTAATACTCCTAAACCTCCTCTAAGTATGATCAGATACAACCGGGATTGGTCTGTATAAGAACCATCAGTAGGGGCACTTGTATATGTCAGTAACTGCACGAGCTTTTCACTGGTTACAGTACACCAGTGATGAAAGTTTGAGGTTGATCAGACGAGGTGTTCTCAAGTATGTTCTAGCTACGGCATTATGCCTTATACTCTCTATAATCACGTTGCAACATAAAATATAAAATGCAGAGAAGGTGAAAACAAGAGTGGAAAGAGAGTGTCAGGCATAGTAACAGTACACTCACTACTACTACTCTTCGCAGCGCAGCACGTGCACCCAGAACCGCAGCTTCTCCTACTGATCTTATCCGAATTGCTGCAACTACTCGTGCAGACTCCTCCTGCATCTTGGCAGGCATCATGAAATCTGCATACAGCTCTGTCAGCCAGGGTGTCATTCAAGGTAAATTCATCTGGAACAACGGAACAATCATGTTGTAAACCCGAGAAAAATTAAGCAGGTTAGTTAACATAAGAACAGTAGTGCAGAGTCTGCATCACATCGCTTCTTAAATCGGTAAAACTTATTTGAATAATGTATAGAAACTAACATTCAAGTTTTCTTAATCATGAATTCTCAACATCAGAGTTACTATTCCAAACAAAAGGCTTTCACAAACACAAACACTACAGTTTTCGCCTGGGGAATAAGAAGCATTCAAGTTTGAGACAAGTACAGTTCCATGGATCAAGAGTCCTCACCCTCACTGGGAAAGAAATTAACATTACTGTCGAAGAAGCATCTATCACTTGCTAACATTGATCATGGTGGGTTTGGAAGGCAAATAATTATTTTTGCTCGATTTTTTTGGCAATAATATACGTGAAATGTTACGTTTAAATATATTATTATTATTACGGAAGCGCTAAACCCGTAGGATTATACAGCGCATGTGGGGGGGATGGAAGGTATTCAGGCGCAATTCAGGGAACCGGAGCATAGATCCAATTCCCTAGATCAAGAGCCCCTCACCAGCGTCAAGGAACCTCCCTTGAGAGGATGTTTAAATATAGCTTAGAGTATTTAAAATTTTCGGCTTAGTATATGTACGTAAATAAAACAAAATTATTCACAGATTATTTCCTATACTAAAATTGTCTAATTAAAACATTTAGAGGCAATTGAAAAATAAACGTCTTTTTGTTAAACACTAAACTTTATAATAAATAAATATTAAGAAAAGAGAAATCGCTAGGAAAGTAAAATAATTAGGTAAATTATTTACTGAAGTATTGACAGTTTTTTTGAACAATATTAAACATAAAATTGAGTGCATACAGATATAAAAAAAACTTGAGAAAAAGTTTTTAAATTATGAAGAGTAGAATGAAAAATATTAGAGGTGATGGGACCCTGTAAGTCCTCTTTTATGTATATTTAACATTGTTACTGCCTCTGAGTGTGTCTTTTGTACATGTAAAATTGTTACTACCTCTGAATCTGTCTTTTGTATATGTAACATTGTTACTGCGTCTGAGTCTGTCTTTTGTATATGTAACATTGTTACTGCGTCTGAGTCTGTCTTTTGTATATGTAACATTGTTACTGCGTCTGAGTCTGTCTTTTGTATATGTAACATTGTTACTGCGTCTGAGTCTGTCTTTTGTATATGTAACATTGTTACTGCGTCTGAGTCTGTCTTTTTATATATGAAAAAGTTTCAGAGTTCTCAAGTTTGAATAAACCTACAGGTTGACCAGTGAGACACTTGTTGAACATTTGAATATCTTTATCGAGAATAAATATACATAAATGTTACACTGTCATTTATCAGTCCTCAGGTTGCTGTTAGTCTTGTCTTGTGTTTACTAAGCAGTTCCATAACACCAGTGTTGTGTGAATGTCTGTGTAACGGTGTTATTTATTTTTATTATGTTTAAAGTTTAGAAAACATTAGCATAAGTCTCAAAGTGCAGCAGGATGAATATGCTGTGATGCTACAGTCTCTCACATCTTATGTAGTGTCATTAAGAAAGTGTCATACTCCCTGACTTATTGGTTGGGTCTAAATATCTGTATTACGAGTACACTTATGTATAGCTACTACTGTTTCTATAGAACATTGCCATAGTCAACTGGTCCTGTGCTGTGTTCATGTAATAGTGACACAGTTCTTTATACTATGTTACGTCCATAAAACAGTCCCAGAGTCAACTTTTCTGCTGATTTTATGTCAATATAATGTGCCACAGCCTGTTTCCGTGTAAAGTGTTGCCTGTGTTGCATCTACTGAACAGTCCCACTGTCAGTTTGTCCTGTGCTGTGTTAAGGAAACACTAATAACCCCATGAAGAGGTTTCAGTGTCTACGATGCCACTGTTACTCTTGGGTCCAGTCTCCTTTTATTTTCCTGTATCTCGCCTTCTTCAGGTCCATCATCTGAAAAAAAAAAGCACTATATTACCGCGTGAGTATACTCACTTGATTGTGGAACGTTCTTTGGTGTGTGTGTGTGTGTGTGTGTGTGTGTGTGTGTGTGTGTGTGTGTGTGTGTGTGTGTGTGTGTGTGTGTGTGTACTCACCTATATGTGGTTGCAGGGGTCGATTCATAGCTCCTGGCCCCGAATCTTCACTGGTCGATACTAATTCACTCTCTCCCTACTCCATGATCTTTATCATAACTCTTCTTACATCTATTTATGGAACTTGCTTCACTACTTCACTCTCCAGGTTATTCCACTTCCTGACAACTCTTATGACTAAAGAAATACTTCCTAACATCCCTATGACTCATCTGGGTTTTCAGCTTCCAATTGTGGCCCCTTGTTCCTGTTTCCCATCTCTGAAACATTCGATCCCTGTCCGCCTTGTCAATGCCTCTCAGTATTTTATATGTTGTTATCATATCCCCTCTATCCTTCCTATCCTGTAGTGTCATCAGGTTGAGTTTCCTTAACCTCTCCTCATAAGACAGACCGCTCAGTTCCGGGACTAATCGTGTTGCAAATTTTTGCACTTTCTCCAATTTCTTGACGTGTTTGACTAGGTGAGGGTTCCATACTGGCGCTGCATACTCCAGTATAGGCCTTACATACACGGTGTACAATGTCGTAAATGACTCCTTACTCAGATGTCTAAACGTCAATCTCAGGTTTGCCAATTTCCCTTATGCTGCAGCAGTTATTTGATTAATGTGTGCCTCAGGGGACCTATTCGTTATAATGCTTACCCCAAGATCCTTGGGGTAAGCATTGATTTTTTAACATGTACGCTGTCTGCGGTCTTGTGTGTCCTTCCCCAATCATCATGACCTTACACTTACTGGGGTTAAACTCCAGGAGCCATTTGTCGGACCATACTTGTAGTCTGTCCAGATCCCCTTGTAATCTTAACTGATCCTCGCCCCCTTGTATTCTCATCAGTTTCACATCATCAGGGAACATTGACACTTCTGAATCTATTCCTTCCACCATGTCATTCACGTATACAAGAGACAGCACCGGGCCTAGGACTGAACCTTGTGGAACCCCACTCGACACATGTGCCCACTCCGACACTTCATCACGTACCAATACTCGTTGTTTCCTTCCTGTCAGGTATTCCCTGATCCACTGCATTACTTTCCCTGATATTCCTGCCTGGTCCTCTAATTTTTGCACCAGTCTCTTGTGTGGTACTGTGTCAAAAGCCTTCTTGCAGTCTAAAAAGATGCAATCTACCCATCCCTTTCTCTCCTGTCTTACTTCTGTTACCTTATCGTAGAACTCAAGTAGATTTGTGACGCAGGATTTCCCATCTCTGAAGCCGTGCTGACTGTCATGTATGAGCCCAATCTTTTCAATATGTTCCACCACTGTTCTCCTGATAATCTTTTCCATGACTTTACATACAAGTCAGTAACACTGGTCTGTAGTTTAACGCTGCCTGTCTGTCTCCTTTCTTAAAAATTGGAACTACATGTGCTGTCTTCCACGCCTCAGGCAACTGCCCAGTTTCGATAGATTTACTGAAGATTGCCGGTAGCGGCACACACAGTTCCTCTGCTCCCTCTCTCAGTATCCATGGAGATATATTATCTGGGCCCACCGCCTTTGAGATATCTAGTTCGCCCAGCAGTTTCTTCACCTATACCTTGGTTATGTGTACTGTGTCTAGCACCTGCTGGTGCACTATACCTCCACAGTTTGTGGGAAGCATTCCTGACTCCATTGTGAATACTTCTCTAAATCTTTTGTTTAGTTCATCACATACTTCTTGGTCACTCTTTGTGAGCTCCCTTCCTTTCCTCAGCCTGATTACCTGGTCCTTGACTGTTGTTTTTCTCTTAATGTGACTGTATAACAACTTTGGTTCAGATTTGGCTTTTGACGCTATGTCGTTCTTGTATTGCCTCTGGGCCCTCTCTCCTTAGCCCTGCATATTTGTTTCTGGTTCTTCTGCTCAACTCCTTGTTCTCTTGAGTCCTTTGACTTCTATACCTTTTCCACGTTCTAGCACACTTGGCTTTGGCCTCTTTACACCTCCAGTTAAACCATGGGCTCACTCTGGTCTTACCGTTTTTTCTGTTGCCCTTTGGTATGAACCTTTCCTCTGCCTCCCTGGTCACTATTTCCATTTCATTTACTGTCTTCCATCTAGTTCTCTTTCCCACTGCACTTTATGCAGGAAACTTCTCATTCCTATGTAGTCCCCTTTTTTGAAGTTCGGTTTCTCTCTTTGTTCTCGTGCTGCTGCATTCTCCACTGTTAACTCTACAAGATATTCAAAACTCAGAACATCATGATCACTAGCACCAAGGAGTCTTTCGTGGGTAATATCCCCTATGTCTGAACTATTCAAGGTGAATACGAGATCCAGCATTGCTGCAACATCCTCTCCTCTCTCTCTGGTTGTATCCTTAACATGTTGATGCATGAAGTTCTCCAATACTGTCTCCAACATCTTAGCCCTCCATGGTCCCCCATGTGGCTCTAGGTTTTCTCAGTCAATCTCTTTATGATTGAAATCCCCCATTATAAATAATTTTGTCCTACCCATATGAGCCCTCCTGGCCACTTCAGCTAGTGTATCCACCGTTGCCCTATTGCGCACATCATACTCTTCTCTTGTAACAACATTAGTCTCTCAGCCTTTGTGTAGAGAGGACGACAGTGGAACTGCTTTCTAAACCCCTGGTGGCAGGTGGCAGTACTTTCATAATGGCGGAAGGTGGACGTAGGCGTGTCAACACTGTTTGTCTTGAACTTGTGAAGGGCTCGCTCAATAGTCAGAACACCCATCTTTTGTTGACGGCAATATTAAGGGACACATGGCATCGCAAACGAGGAGCTCTATGGCGTTTCGTTGAATGGTAATTCAAGGCTTTTCGTCAAATTCCGGCAGAGCAGCACTTATGAAAATATGGTGGCCAGGTACCAGGATGTGGTTAAGCCGGTTAACCCTGGTGTTAATAAGAACATAAGAACGAAGGAA